CGGCGCCGCTCGGCCCGCCCGCCCGCCAGTCTCTCAGTCCCTCAGCCGCTCCGTCCGGCCACCGTTCTCCACCTCAGGAACGCTCCGAAAAACAAACCGCTGGTCGCGCAGCTCGCCCCCTTGTCTGTCACTCACCGCAGCGCCCGCCAATCCCAGGCAGTCGCTGGACCTTCGTACCACCCCCACTCACTTCACCAGCCAATAACAGGGAGGAAGTCGCTGCCCCAGTCGCCCCCCAACCCCGCTCTCTCCCCAACACCCTAACTCTCAGTCGCCAGCTAATCATCAGCACCACACGATGAACCAATCCCGCCTACTCTCGTAGGATGCCAATGGACGAAGCCAAGGCCGTTTCCGAGGGCTGTCTAACTGCCTGCCAATCATCGAAACAGCACCCGGTTCACTCTCTGCTAGCCAATCACGCAGAGGGCTCTGAGCACCCGCCTCTGCGCATCCCTCGCCGTCTCGCCCTCCCTCTCTCCCCGGGAGGTGTTGGTTGCTCCAATCACAGCTCGCGCGTGAGGCTCCGCCCACATTCCCACCTCCCGTGGGTCACTGAAGGCTCGGCGGGCGCGCGGGCTGGCGCTGTTCCCCTCCGGCTACTTTGGGGCTGGAGTTTGGGAAAGCGGCTGGAGGGGCCGTCGGCCTCCCGCCCTCCCTGCTCTCGGCCGCCAGGGTGGCCCCTGAGTCCGGCGTCCTGCTCCTCCCTGTGCCCGCACCGGGCGCGCAATAAGCGGGGAGGGTTCAGGCTCTGAGCGCTTCCCGGCCTGTGGCCACCTCTGCCGCCGGATCCCCTGACAAGTCCTCCGGTCCGGACGCTGCGCTTGCCCGGAGGCAGGGGCGGCCTCACCACTGCCCGCCTTTTCCTGGGTCTCCTACCTCCGGGGTCACACCCTCCGAGGGGCTGGGGTAGTACTGGAATGTGGGTCCTCGGAAGTCTGGGAGTTCCGCTGCTGGCCAGGGCCAACACCAGTAAGTGACAAAGTCAGAGAGGTTCTTTCGGATAAAAGCTTTTTTTCTTTGGTTATGAAAGCAATACAAGCTCTTCGAAGTAAAACTGAAAAAAAAAAAAAAATTCCACCCCAAGGATAATTTTATCTCTTTCCTACCAAGATATACGTTTGACAAAAATAGCTTCGTATTGTTTTGTAGTATGCTTACATTTTATTATAAGTGTTTTCCCGTGCCACTGAAATATTGTTCCGAAACAATTGTACTGGCTGCATATTTCAAAATAGAGAATGACCATAATTTCTCCAACCCTCATTGTTCAACATTTTATACACCCAGGTCTTCAGATGCCAAGTCCATCACAATCAATATGGGCTCCCTTCCTCTAGTCCTTGTTCCGGTGTAATACAAATCAGACGCCGGAATAATCTTCCTCTGATGCCATTTCCAACCGTCAACTAAGAATCTTTGGTGGTGGCTTTGCCTTGGGTGCCAAATCTCTCAAGAATTATCTTGGACTCCTCTCTTTCTTTACACTCCTTCCTCCCCCCAATATTTAATCAGGCCCCTTGTCCTGGTTTTTTTTCCCCCCTCCCCAAAAGCTTTTAAATCTGTCATTCTCCCACTTGATTAGATCCCTACCCAGTTTATTGTAGTTCCTGACTATAATAATCTTTTTTCTGGGAAGGGGAGAAAGAAAAAAGGGAAAGAAAATTAATAATTATGTCATTTATTATATGCCAGGCACATCATCTTATTTAATCTTTCCAATAACTGAGGTAAGCAATACTATTGGCATTTAAATGATGAAATTGAAGCTCAGAGAAGTTAAGGAGCATGTCCAAGTGGTAGAGCCAGGATTCATACCAGGTCTATCTGCCACCCAAAGGTCATGTTCTTGTACCAGACCAGTGTTTCTCAACTTTTTCATTATCCGCCCCCCCAGGAGAAAATTTTGCATTACTTAATTAAATGTAAATTCTAATGAGAGAAATTAAATACTAAGGAATAAGATTTGGTCAAGTAGGGTTGAGCTTTGAAGGCCACATACCATTGTATTATCTAAGATTTTTTTTCACCCCTTAATCATTTTTCACTCCACTGGGGTATCACCTTGGTGAGAATGTGTGTAATAAGCCAGTGCTGGAGGTCCCAATCTACCAATCTGAAGCTCATATCTGACCCTTAATTGTATAGACCTGTGAGATAAATATAAAAGAAAAACAGAACTATGCAAGTGGAAATCTAGTACTCACTCCATTGCCTGTATTGGAAGGGTTATTCAGCAGCTTCTCTTAGAATGTCTGAAACACATCTCCAATTTCACAAGTTTCACACTGAACTCTTTATCCTTTCCCCCTCCCCCTAAAACAGCCTGCTCCTCTATTTTCCAATTATTAAAATACAAACCTAGAAGTCTTCCTTGGTTTTGCTCTTTGCCTAACACCCCTATATCTAATCCTTCAGCAGGTCCTCTCGCCTCTGGTTTCAAAATATATCTGAATCCAACCACTTCTCATCACTACCACCCTGGTCCAAGCTTCTACCCTCTCCTGGATGACTGCCCTAGCCTCCTAACCCGTTACCTTGTTTCCTCTGTGGTCACCTAAAAAATGATTCTCTACACAGCAGCCAAAGCAATCCTTGTAAAATGTAATTCAGATGCCACCGTCCTGCTGTTAAGCCTCCAATGGCTTCCCGTTGCACTTAGAATAAAACCCAAACTCTTTGTCATGGCCTTTAAGGCTCAAGAGGAGCTGGCCCTGCCATTCTCTCCTACCTCATCTCTACCTCTCTCCCATGATCACTCTTCCAGCCACACTGCCTTCTTACCACATTTTGGGCCTACCAAGCTCAGGACCTTTGCACTTTCCATTTGTTCTACCTGGAATGCTCTTCCCCAAAGTGTTCCCATGGCTAATTCCTGCATTTTATTCAGGTCTTTGCTCAAATGTCAACTCTTTTGAGTTTCTAAGCACCCCATCCAAAAGAGCCTCTCTCCTCTCCATCATACTTTATTCTGCCTTATTTTTCTTCATAGTGACTAAATTGTATTTTATTTGTCTTTCCTCTAACTACAATGAACATAAGCTGTGTAGCAGCAGGGATTTTGTCCTGTTTACTGCCTTATCCTATCACCAGCACTTAGAATAGTGCCTCACACATAGTAGAGAACCACAGTACAACCACATAAGTCTTTAGCTGAAAAGAGCCTTATGACTTTCCTTCCTTCTAGTAACTGCTTCCTTTCCATTTTCTGTCTCTTAACAGCCATCTCAAACATTCCCATGCTGAAGTTACCGTACTAGACTTTCTTCTGAGCTCCCAAGACATCATCCTCTAGCCTCCCATAGGCACCTCAAATTCTACAGGTCCAAACTGAATTCATCATTTTCCTCCATAGTTCCGTATTTCCTCTACCATCTTCAGTTTCACAAGTTGGCTCTGTGAACTCTCTACCTTGGAGAACTCTTCCTCTCCATTTCCCTCCTCCCACAGCTAACCTTACCAATCTGTCCATTCCTCTCCCACCCTCAGCTCCACCATTCTAGTTCAAACCCAGTATAACAGTGTCTGCTTACATCACAGGGTGATCTTTCTAAAACGGACACCTGATCCTGTCATGCTCTGCTTAAAAACTTTATAGTTTCCTATTGCCCTTAGGATAAGTCAAATATGTGGATGTAGTTAAGAAGGCCCTTCAGGACTCAGGCTATGCCTCTCTAGCCACAAGCTTTTCCATTTCCCACCTCTGCCAGCCCCATCCTTCAAATTCTATGTTCTGGCCACACAGAACCACTGGAGTTCATCTCGCCTCCACACCTCTGCATCTGCTATTTTGTTTTAAACACTCTTCTCCTCCACTCTTCCCCCCACCCCCATTCTTTCAGGAAAGAACTAAGCCTGAACATCACTCCCTCCATGAAACCCTTCCAGACGAATACTCACAATTCTGGGTACCAGAGCACCTAGTACTTTCTTTATCAAAGCACCTATCCCACTCTGTTGTAACTGCCTTTAAGGAAGTAAGCATAGAGACAGAAGCTGTCATTCAAATTGGTATGCCGAGCATCTTTCACAGTACATTTAAAAAACAAACATTTCATTTAAAAAACAAACATTTTCTTGAATAAGTGAACCTCAACTGGGGTTGTTAGTAGTTGAATGTAATCTCCACAAGTGTGCCCTTTTAGTTTATTTTTTTCTCTTTCTATATTGTTTCTCTCCTCACTCTTCATTTTCCCCATGTGAAGCCTCCCATCTGGGCCATGCCTTCTCAAGTCTGTTCCCCCAGTTTCACACTGTGTAGATGCCCCTGGTTAAGTACCTGAGTCATACCTGATCCCAAGGATCACAACCTGCCCCTAATGCTCAGGGCTTCAGGCAGCTTGAAGTACCAGCTGAACATTTTCCTTTTTCTCTTTCAAGAGCATAGGGATACTTGGACACAAGATAGGGAATAATAAACATGAATGAATTCTTTTCAGGGATAGCTCAATGAATTTGGTATTAAACAAGAAAACAAGGGGTGCTTGGGTGGCTCAGTTGGTTAAGGGTCAGACTCTTGATTTTGGCTCAGGTCATGATGTCAGGGTCAAGACTGAGCCCTGCGTCAGGCTCCAAGCTGGGTGTGAAGCCTGCTTAAGATTCTCTTTCTCTCTCCCTCTGCCCCCCACCCCTGCTTATGTGCATGCTCTCTGGAAAAAAAAAAAGAAAGAAAAAACCCAACAAAGCTACCACCTGATTTGGTGAAAATTCTTTTTTTTTAAAGATTTATTTTTATTTATTTATTTGAGAAGAAAGAGTGAGCATGAGTGTGGGCAGAGGGAGAAGCAGACTCCCCACTGAGCAGGGAGCCCAATGCAGGGCTCGATCCCAGAACCCCGAGATCATGATCTGAACTGAAGGCAGACACTTAACCAACTGAACCACCCAGGCGCCCCTAATGAAAGTCCTTTTAATTCAGAGGTAAAGAATATATTCAGATCACTAGTTCAACCAGTTATTTTATCTGCATTATTAAGGAATGATGTCTACCTCAGAGAAGATTTTTACAACTGTGATATTTTATATATTATTGACATTAACTAATAGGGAAAAATTGCTTTTCATTTAGAAATTCCATTTCTATAAATTTATCCTAAGGAACACTAGGCAAGTGAGCAAAGGTAAGTAATGTTCATTGCAGCATCCAGGATACATTGTGAAATGAAAAAAACAAAAACAACTTATAAAGCAGAAATGTAGAAGGTGATCACATTTCAGTTTTAAAAAATGTTCATTCATACTTAGTGGGGGTGGGTGAAAGGCCAACATTTATTGAGCACTTACTATTGCCAGGCACTGTTTTAAGTGCTTAACATATGTTAACTTACTTGTCAAAATAGCCCTATGATATCATACTATTGTACTCATTTTGTAGACGAGGAAATAGATGCAAAGAGGTTAAATTTTTGTCCAAGGTTGCTGGCAATTGGCAGAGTTTAAATCTGTTCCCCAGCAGATTGGTTCCAAGGAGTAAAATAATACAGAGTAGATTGTTAATGGTGGTTATATCTTAGGAGGAAGGGGGTAGGGAATCCCCCCATTTGAGGGTCACTTATTCATTCCAAAAACACAGACCTCTTTCACATGGACAAAAGAAAGACAAAAAGCGGAAAAGCAAAAACTACTATCCTGTTCAGCGTCTGGGGAGGGCATAAGGGGAGAAAGCAGTTCCGGTCAAGACTAGTATGGTATCTATCATAACACTCACTCTTGCCAGACCTACTGGCTCATTTATTTCCTCTTCAGAATGGCTCCAGAGGAGTCCCCAGGGATTCAAATAAAAGTCTACAAGTTGGGGTTTCTTCGAATGTGAAGTTTTATTCACTGTTGTGCTATAAGTTTCAGAGAGTAAAACAAAACAAAACAAAACAAAACAACAAAAGAGTAACTCAGGCCATGGCTGAATTTCCATTGTGGGCTGGAAGCAGAGCCTTCATGGTTCCTGTTCGATTTAGCTGGGGCCTCTGGCAAAGGGAAGGCGGCTACATACCACGTGAACGCTTCTTGTGAGAGTCAAGGCTATGGACGGAACCTGTCACAAATACTCCCATCCCATGGAAGGTCACTTGAAAGTGAGCTGAAGCCAGCTGCAAAGCACTGAACGATTTTGTCTGCTAAGACAATGACCAAAGATAAGGCCAAGCCAAGACCAGATCTCATTCTTTGGAGTTTAAGGTATGCCTGACTCCTGGCCTCTCACCTGCTGTCACCCTAGCTGGACAATAATGTGACTAGTTTTCTTTTTTTAAAAATGTTTCCCCTGATAAAATATATGATTATAGAAAATAAAACTCAGTGATAACATCACCACCGAGAGATAACCAGTTTTGAGATTCTGATACACTTCCTTCTACTCTTTTTCTTTTAGAGTTCATAAAGTATGACTATATTTTTAAAATTGGGACCATATTATACACATAGCTTTACATCTTTGTTTTCCACTTTACATTGTAAACATTTTCTGACATAAAATTTCTTCAAAAAATAATTTTTAGTGGCAGAATAATGCATATCCTCTCTACTTAACTATTCAGTTAAATAGTTACTTAACTATTTAACCTATGTAGCTAAGGGTCTCTAGCAGTCTTAGAGGCAGAACAGGTCCAAATAAGGCTTCATTTCTGCCTTTCCCATATTAGCCACAGGAAAGACTGCAGGGCACCACCAGGGGTCAGTGCAGAACCATTCAAAGCCTTGCTGTAAGAAAACTGGTTACACAAAAGTCCTGATTAGCAAATCCTATCTATTACATTAGAGGACTATTCACATGAATAGCCAAGTTCCCTACCAGAGCAGACTCTCCTGGTGCAGATTTCTCAGATCAGAAATTATCAGATTCTTCCAAATTATAATTATATTAAACATTTACAAAACAACTATTTTTATAAACCAAGGTCTATCAATGTAAGGTGTAGTATTAGACCTATTCTCACCTGCTTGGCTATGAGACCATTTGTGCATAAAATACTTGGCCTGATTATTTTATAGGTTTGCTGTGAAAATAAAATAAATAACACGTAAAAGTATCTTATAAATTACAAAGCAGCACTTAAACTTTGAAGTGCACTATTTGGATGAGTTATCTCCTTTAAAAACTAAGGAATGTGGGGCACCTGGGTGGCTCAGTTGGTTAAGCATCCAACTCTTGATTTCAGCTCAGGTCATGATCTCAGGGTCATAAGATCGAGCCCTGCGTTGGGCTCAGTGCTGAGTGTGGAGCCTGCTTGGGATTCTCTCTCTCTCCCTCTGCCCCTCCCCCTGCTCTCTCGCTTACAAATAAATCTTAAAAAAAAAAAAAAACAACTAAAGAATGCCAGGTGGTATCATGATTATGAAATTAGGTATAAGAGATATGCTTTGGCATTTTGTGGGTTATTTCATTGGTTTTTCTTTCCTTAGCCTTTGCTCTCCAACTGTTAAAGTCATCATGGAATTAGTAATCTGTTTTCCTAGAAGCTGAAGTTATTATTTATAGCCAGCCAATTTGGTTTTTGTTCTCCTCATTTACCTGAAGCTCCTTCAGGAAAATTACTCTGATCTCAGAACTGGCTTACACGACTTATGAGTAGGTGAGTAACAGGGATCAAAAAGCCATTTCTCACCCAGCCTTTGGAATATAGACATGCATACTTCTTTTTTTTTTTTTTTAAAGATTTTATTTATTTATTTGAGAGAGAATGAGAGAGAGCGAGAGAGAGAGCATGAGATGGGGGAGGGTCAGAGGGAGAAGCAGACTCCCCGCTGAGCGGGGAGCCCGATGCGGGACTTGATCTGGGGACTCCAGGATCATGACCTGAGCTGAAGGCAGTCGCTTAACCAACTGAGCCACCCAGGCGCCCGACATGCATACTTCTGAAGGAGATTATGTAGCTACCACCAGGCAAGGGAAAAAATCCAAACATATCCCCATCCCCTTCTTTCTGCCCTGATTGCAGTTTAGGGGATGCAAAGACATTGCTCATCATTTAAGATTCCAGTCTTGGTGCTACATTTTAAGACCTGGACATCATATGGCTATAGAAGGGAAAAATGGGACAAAGGGCCCCTTCTCCACCTGATGAGCAAGTCTTCTGGGTCCTGCCTAGTACAGAACGAATTAAGGGAGAATAAATGATCAAAAAGCCACTCCAGGCCTGACATGTGTGACAGGCCCCTGCACAGGTGACTGGCACTCCCGGTCTCTCTAAACCCAAAAGTGACACTTAGGAGCCAAAGGTACGAAGGGTCCTCTTTCCCAGCTGGCTAGGCTCTGACTCAGTCCTTCACCCTCCTTCTACTCTCATTTCCTCTCCAGTTCCGTGCCGCATCATTCGGCAGCAGGGATGAAAAGGAGCTAGGGCGGGCATTCTGGCGATCAAGTAGCTTTCAAAGCCAGCTTGGCGTAGCCTTTCCTGAGAGCAGTCCAATCTGCTGACAGGTCTGCTCTGACCAATCTCAGAACACATGGGGCCTGGGTGAGGCAGGGCCTGGGAGTCCCTTATCATTGGCACTTGATTTCCTACTGTGTTAGAGCCTTAAGCTGTCTGGCAGAAGGAGGGCACAGAGGCCCCAAGAAGAGAACAAGGATGCATGCACAGCAGTTCACACTGCCCTAGGGTAGTTCCAGCAGACAGCAGTCCTGTGTCTGACCTCTGAGGTCCTATGTCTTAGAGCAGGATCTAACACAGGGCACCAACTGAACAGCTTGTGCTCCTGGTTAAGTGCAGTTCCTGGTACACAGGTGTTTGACAAATACTATTTGCATGATTAATGACAGCTTTAGGCCACCAGACCAGCATTAGAGCACAGAGTGGTCCCTGTAGAGAGCTACATTTCTCTGGTCAAAAAAAAAAGGGCTGGGACTGGAGTAGTGAAACTAAACCTACAGACTTCAAAGGAAGTCAAGAGCATCCCAACAGCTGGATAAAAACCCAGGAAAACTCAAGAGCCATACAACAGGAGTATAGCAACTCAGATCAGTCACATTATTTAAGAGCAGTTTCTAGTACAAGGGCCCTCAGGGCACCTGCCATGCCCACAAGGGCCAACTTCCTAAGATCAGAGTCTGGTTAGCCGGCTGGCTCCACCCTGCAGCCAGGAGGGCTCTGAGACACCAGCAGAGCTGACAAAGAGGCCCCACGGAGTTGGTGATTCCCTTGGCCACAAAGCTGCAGGTCTTGGTTTTATGCCTCCTAACCTGCTAGGCCTCCAATCTGCTTCAGTCTCAGAGTCGCTGCAGAAGCCTGTGCTCCAGAATGAGCTGCCAGTTGCCTAAGAAGGCCCCCGGGGGCACACAGAGCCTGGTTACTCAATGTTGTCATAGACCTGGATCACGTCGTCATGGTTGCCAAGAGCCTGGATGAGAAGGGCGGCCTGCTCCAGGTCGGGGTCAGCCAGCTGCACCTTTGTGTTGGGGATGAATTCTAGTGAACAGGACACCGAACACAAGCCCAGGGAGTCCAGCTTCTTCCTCACTTGATGCAGTGAAGAGGCATCACAAATAAACTAGGGACAAAAGAAAGTCAAGAGGTGAGGCCAGGAGATAGCAGAATAAAGCCAGTCAGAACTCTGCAAAACCTGAATGGAACTACTGTATGAATCACTGTGTTTAAGTTCTTAATAGCAGAGATACAGTTTTCAGAGTTCTGAATCTTTCTAGTAGTCCTGAGTAAGCCCTATCTAGTATTTGCTTAATAAATGTTTATGCAATACGTGAACTCTTTATGTCACTTGTACCCCAGGGCATGAGAAAGAAGAAACAGAAAGAAGCACGCCTTAATGCATCTATTAGGACCCTCTCGAAAGTCCACCAAACGTCAAGCTTCGTACTCACTTTAAAAATGTTCTTTTCCTCTTCGTCTTCAGTTTCCTTGACATCTTCAGCTCCTGCTTCGATTGCCAGCTCCAGGGCATGCTCTAGGTTCACAGCTTTCTTCTCTCTGTCCTCCACTCCAACCACGATCACCCCCTTTTTGTCAAAAGAGTGGCGAGCTCCATCAGCCATCATTCCCCTCAAAGGAAAGGAAACACGCCAGACTGAACGCCTGTAGACACTCAGCTCCACATAGCACCGCATTCTAATCACTCTATTTCTCACCCAGCCTTTGGAATATAGACATGCATACTTCTGAAGGAGAATATGCAGCTACCACCAGGCAAGGGAAAAATCCAAACATGTCCCCATCCCCTTCTTTCTGCCCTGATTGCAGTTTAGGGGATGCAAAGACGTTGCTCATCATTTAAGATTCCAGTCTTGGTGCTACATTTTAAGACCTGGACATCATATGGCTATAGAAGGGGAAAATGGGACAAAGGGCCCCTTCTCCACCTGATGAGCAAGTCTTCTGGGTCCTGCCTAGTACAGAACGAATTAAGGGAGAATAAATGACCCCATTTGGATTCTGCTGAGGATGAAGTATGCTTACAACTTGAAACACCACCAGCAACAACTGTACTTTCCTTGCAAAGAATTGGAACCTCAAGGCTTCATACCCTTCCACTCTCCCCAGACCTACACCTACCCATTCTTGTTCAGGATATGTCTGATGTCTGAATAGCACTTGGAGCTACTGTTAGATAATGCCTCAATGAGCAGAGAAGAGCCACCAGGGCCTCGGCCCTCATACAGCAAATAAACATCCTTGGTTTTCTGCAATAAACAACATGAGCACATTTTCCTGTTTCCCAATTCCCTCTTGCACCCCAGCCCAGAACACAGATACTGACTCCATGGGATGGGCACTCCGGGGTACAGCTTAGGGTCTCAAATCTTTATTGTCGCCGCCCCCCCCCCCCCCCCCCACGTCTGAGAAGTGGCCCTTTGGGACCAACTTTTGAAGTAATTACAAGTACGACCCCTTACTGGGAAGGGAGTCTGTTTCTCTGGTCCCTGAACAATCAGTCATCTCCTAGTTTCATTTCCTCCCTGTCCCAGCTGAATCCCACATCTAACACATACACCACCCCCCACACTCCTACCAAGACTCATCCTCCTACACCCAACCCGCATGAAACCACCTGTGAAGTCTCCTACCCCTGGGGTGCTGAGTATCGCTTTAGGAAATAGCACACCTGGGCCCTATCATAAGAACCACTGAAAATAGCATGGCCACAAAATTCCAACAATTCATCAAAGGTCTAGTGACCAGTCTCATTGGACCTCCCATGCCGCCTCCACTCATCCCTTGCCCACACATCTGACCTTCACCACTCTCTCCCAGCACCGCTGCCTTACCAGGAACTCAAATGACAATTTCTTCCTTCTTCTTTCACAAAGGAAATAAAAGATCAGCAGGTGGGGAGAAATCCTCTACTTCCACTTTATCCGCACCAAAGCCCACATGAAGGCATGTGTATGTATAATGGTTAGAGAACAGGTTCTAGAGTCTGTCTGGTTTCAACTCTGTCATTTTCCATGGGACTTGGTCACCTAATCTTTCTGTGTCTCAGTTTCCACTTAAGGTTGCTTTGAGGATTCAGTGAGATAATGCATACAAAGTTCTTTCAAAGTGGTTGGCCTAGAGTAAGCACTCAATAATTATTAGCTATTAAGATGCTTATCACTTCCTCAAATCCTTCCTACTGTCCCAGAGGAAGAGGTATCCTCTCACCTGGGCTCAAAGACAATTCCCATTACTGGGCTCTAACCCTGCCCCTCCCACCATCACTAATGCCCCGTCTCCCTTTCTACTGGCTCTTCTCCTTTACGGCATAAATACCTGAAAAACACATCCTTCCTCAATCTAACATTCCCCACATTGTAGCCCCTTCTTTCTACCTCATCTCCTCACACTTTGGCTGAGTAGTCCTAGGCCGTCTGGTTCTGTACATTGTCTATTCATCCTATTCCTGATTGTATGCCCATAACCAATGTCCAAGGTCAGAGAGCCACCAGAAGGCTCTGTATTGAGGGTATCAACCACAATGCTACCCGTCTCTCTGATAATCTAAGGAGTGTTTGGTGGCCTTCCAGACATGGGCCCTGGAGGGGCTGTGATCAATAACAAGAAGTCAAACTGAGGACACACCCCCATTTTCAGCGATGCCTCAATCGTTGACTTGGGCATGTGCTTGCTGCGACACACCTCTAAGATGTTGGCCAGACTGCTGTTGTGCTCAGGGTTGGGGCCTCCTTCTGAGATAGAGAGAAAAGAGTGAGTGAACACATCTCATTACAGCCGGGGAGAAAGAAGGGATTTCTGCCATTCTACCCACCCCCACCCAGCCAAAAGAGCAGCAAGTCACCACTTGGCTCTCAGTTAATTTAGAATATTTATTCAGTGTTTAAATGGAATATGGAGAAGTATTTTGGAAAAGAAGTTTCTAATTCACTATTTTATTTTTTTTTAAGATTTTATTTATTTGACAGAGAGACACAGCGAGAGAGGGAACACAAGCAGGGGGAGTGGGAGAGGGAGAAGCAGGCTTCCCGTGGAGCAGGGAGCCCGATGCGGGGCTTGATCCCAGGGCCCCCGGATCATGACCTGAGCCGAAGGCAGACGCTTAATGACTGAGCCACCCAGGCGCCCCTCTAATTCACTCTTTAATGATGGATATCTTTCTGCTAGGTTTCAGCAAATACCACTTTGCATCAGATGAAGAGGTAAGGGATGAACATGGTACCAACATTTCCTGGACTTATTAATACCCCTTGCTGTGACTCTACTATTTTGTGTGTAATTATTGAAATGCTCGTATGACAGCAGGTAATAATGCTGTCTCTCAGGGTAGGGACTATACCTCATTATTCTGTGTTACCAGTGCATATAACAAACAATAGTGTTGATCTCACTCAATTATCAAGAATTTAGAAGGAAGCCAAGAGAAATATCAGGCATGAGTTCTAGGGGTAAAGTAGTATTTACTGAGTGCCTATTATGTGCCAGAAACGACCATACGGTGGGTACTATCCGAGTTTTACAGAAGGAAACTGAAACTCAGCAAGGTTAAGCCATTTGCTCAAGGTCATACAGTTAGTAAGTGACAGAAACCAAGTCTTCCTGACCCCAAAGTCCATGATTTTTACAGGACTTTTTTCTCCACTCCTACAGGTATCTGACACTAAATACAAAAACAAAAAAGTCCTCTTGCAGCGGCTACACAATTGAAAAAGACAAGGTTGCAAACTTACCTTCCAGTAAATGTGTCTTCTTAGGAAACCCTAATGAAGCAAACTGAGACTGGGCCAGTAATAGATTTACTCCATGCCCCTTCCACAGCCTATGTGCTACCAGAGGGGACTAGAGGGCTTGATTTGTCTCTTCAGGCAAGATACACATGTGACCTTACTCTTAGGGTCTGTTTCTATGAAGTACCCGGCTACACACTAGAATGAAGTCACTTTTACCATTATTTATCGTCCTAAGAGCAACTCCCTGCCACGCAGGCCGGTGCTCAGCATCTGGAAAGGTGAGTGGAGACATACAATGTAGGTAGGTGCCCTGAGCGTTTATGAAGTGGGAATTAGGGAAAGAAAAGGATATGAAGGACCAAGGGGGGGGGGGGGCTGGTTTAGCTGTGGGCGCAGAGAGGGCAGCAGCGGGTGACTTACCTTTAACTGCCAGGCGGATGCTCAAACAGAGCTTGGAGAAGATGCGACTCCTTTCGGCGTCCTTGGGACCCTTGATATGCCGGACTTTGGACCACTTGTTGTGCCCGGCGGGGACCGCCGCGGTGAGGTGCAGCGTCCTGCCCAGAGCGGGGGTACAGCCCGTGGGCTCAGGCTGGGAAGCCGCGCGGGGGGGCGGAAGAGCCGCCCGGACCCCGGGGCCTCGCGCCCCCGGCAAGCACCGGGCAGCGACCCTGCTCAGGCTGACGGCGGCCCAAGCTGCCATCGGCGCCGACCCTGGACCAAGGTCAGCAAGAACAGCCAACGAGCAGCGGCCAAGGTCAGCCCGTGGCGTCCGAGGCGGAAACGAGCAGGTCCTGAGCCTGCGGCCGCCTCTACCCGTCACCAGAGACCCAAGGGCTCAGGCCAGCCCCGGGCAGCCCGGACGCGACCGTCCCAATAGCAAACCCGCGGAAGCCGGGCGCGGGTGCCTTAGATAATGCAGCGCACTTCCTTTCCCCGGTCCGTTCCAGAAACGCGCCCCCACCGCCCGAAAAATCCGTTCCGCCGCACGGTACTTGCTCCTTTCTCGCACCTGTGCAGAGCCGGGGCCGAGGTGGGGGCGACTTTTATCAGAGTCCAACTCAAATTTTTAGCTTTAACTAATATTTCACTTAGGAATTTATTATTGTTGTTGTTTATTATCCAAGCTACTCTGTGATGGGCTCGGCACTCTCCTCCTTGAACTTTGCCATATTACAAACATCAGATTGCTCTTGTACTTTTCCAAGTTCCTGTATTCAGCACAAACCTGGGGCTTTGCTGATCCTTGTTCCACTTGACTTCGCCTCGCTAAATTTTGTTTTTCCTTCAAGATTCAGTTCGGACATCATTTTCCACCAAAGGAAAACATCCCCTAATTCTCCTGTTGGGCTCAGATGCCCTACTTTGTGCTCACATGATCCTTCATACTCGCCTGTACCTTAGCACTTACCCAAAAATGTTTGTCTCCGCCACAGTATTAAATTCTTTGAGAGCAGGACGGGACCCCTGTGTCCAGCATAGTTGTTTTTTTGTTTCTTAGTAACAGCTTTATTGAAATAATTCACATGTCATACAAGTCACCAATTTAAAGTGTATAATGGTTTTTAGTGTATGTATTCAGAGATTTGTGTTACCATCACCATAATCAATTTTACATTTTAGTCACCCCAAAAAGAAACCCTGTATCCATTAGCAGTCATTCTCCATTTTCCCCCAATTTACTCAGTCCTAAGATACTACCAATTTACTTCTTCCTCTATGGGTTTGCCTATTCTGGACATTTCACATGAATAGAATCATACAATATGTGGTCCTTTGTGACTGGCTTCTTTCACTTAGCATGATGTTTTCAGGGTTCATTGATATAGCATGTATCAGTACTTCATTCCTCTTTTATTGCCAAATAATATCAATAATGCCATGAAGCTACAATGTTTTATTTATCCATTCATCAGTTGATGGACACTTGGATTTTTTTCCACCTTTTGACTATTATAATATTGTCATGAACATTCAAATACAAGTTTTCGTATAGATATGTTTTTGTTTCTCTTGTATATACCTAGAGGTGGAATTGATGGGTTGTGTAGTAACTCAGTTTAATCTTTTGAAAGGAACTGCCAGACTGCTTCCCAAAACAGTTGCATTATTTTATGTTCCCACCAGCAATGCATGAGGTTTCCACTTTTCTCCACATCCTTGCCAACACTTACCTCTTTTTGACCATAGCTGTTGCCACTAGTGAGTATAAAGTGATATCTCATTGTGCTTTTGATTCGTATTTCCCTCATGACTAGTGATGTCAAAGATCTTTTCATGTGCTTACTAGCTATTCATATATAGTATTACTTTTTTGTCATTTAAAAATATAGTTTAATATGTAACTTTGAATAGCAAAAAGAAAATTAAGGGAATTTATAAGCACAAATAAGCATGAAGGCCAAAGTAAAGTCTGAGATTGCCCTAGTCCAAGCAGCCTAAGTCTACCAGGGCAAACCTGTAGTTCAACAAAGTCAGGCTACAGACTCAGTCCAACAAGGAAAACTCCACACCAGAAGGATGGTGGGGTGTCTCACCAAAGGAAAAGATAATTATTATAGGATTGTGGGGAAAGGTGGAAGTTAGGTGAAATTTCAATGAAATAGAGTTTGATAGGCTCAACGGAACACAGAGCTGTATGAGAAGTGGGTCAACATCAGCTCTGGACTGCAAAGCAGACCGAGCTCAGTTTCTGTGCAAACTACGAAGCTAAATGGGGAGTGCCATGTTCAGAAACACCTGCTCTGAAGTTCTATACCTGGGTTGGAAATAAAGGCTGCTTCTCTGTCAAGAGTGACTTAGATTCTCCAAGCAAGACTACAAGTCTTCATTCTCCCTGATAGAATTTCAAACAGGAGTCTCTGATTTTAGAGAACAAAGTTTCTCAGTGAATTAAAAAAAAGAAAAGCAGTCACTCAGAGAAGGGAATTTTATAACACTCTAAGTTGCAGGTGTGCTTGGATGAAATATTGTTTCCTGTTAACTTTGCAACTGGTTTTATGTGTCTATCTGTGATGAACAGCAGGGCAGAATTTTACTTTCTGTCTAAGCTAATATTCAAGATAAATTCACAGATGACTGAACCATCTCTAGAGCCTGGTTTTCAGGATCATTGAAATCATTAACAATGAGCTTGGCTGCTAATTTGATGGGTGTGGCAGAGACAAAACTATTTATCCGCCACTTTATTTCCTCTTCCTAGGTGTACAGGCAGACTGTCTTTCTTAAATGTCCTTGCAGTTAGGTTGGAATCATGTTACTAAATTTGGCAGATATGGGCAAAACTATTCCTAACATAGTTTCCCCTTCTAAGCAACCTTGGAGGCCACAAGTTCTGGATGATGTAGCTGACCAAACTCGAAAGGACTTCACATAAGCAAAAAGTAAAATTTTGTTGTGTTCAGTCTCTGCAATGTGGGGGTTGGTTACTGCAGCTTAGCCCAGGCTAGCAAGATGAATACCGCCAGTACGACTCTCCCAGAGCTCCCCTTAAAACAGGAATCTCCTATTTCCCATACATGTTGTTGACCATATAGCACAGTTCTAACAGAGCCAGCAGGTGCTCATTTGGCCACGTAGAGTCTAAACTCTTGAAAGTGGTTTTTTGTTTGTTTTAAAAGTAGGCTTCACACCCAACGTGGGGCTTGAACTCACAGCCCTGAGATTAAGGGTCGCGTGCTCTACTGACGGAGCCGGCCAGGCGCCCCATAAACTCTTAGAGGACATACTTTTCCCCAGACCTACTGCCACCCCCAGCTCAATGCTTCTGACACGATGGCAGTTACTTGCCGAATACTGGCTCACAAAATCAGTCACAATTTGCCCTTCTCTTCCCTTGAAATGACTAAGTGTGAATCCAGAATGAAAATAAAAATAAATGGAGGGAGTATTCAACCAGGACTTAGAGCATTTGAATAGCAGTGGGGACAGGCACTCCTCCATCTTACCACGCTGGGGCGTAGGCTGAGGAAACTGGCTTGGACTTGGAAACCCTAGCCAGTCATCAGAACCTGGTGTCCAAGCACACAGGGTCTGGGAGTTATCATTTGCCATCCTTCAGAGCCAGTAGTTTACTGCATCCTGACTACCCTGTCTCTTAAATCTCTTCAGTTATGCCCCGTCCTCTCCTCCCCTCCTGCTCCTGCTTTAGGTCAGGCTTTTACTTCTCCTCGTCCTATTACAATAAGTGAACTGCCTCCCTGTTTCACCCCCTACTCAGGCATTTTCTTCACTGACTCCTAAAGTGCAATTCTGAGCATGACTTCCCTCTGTGTGAGTTTTCCAAAGTCTCATACAAAAGACTCTGTCTGATCTGGCTCCTGCTTACCTCTCTAGTCACACTCCCCATCATTCCCCATTCAAAACCCCACATCAACTTATAATTCTCTTAATATGGCCATATTCTTTCTTGCCTCTATAGCATTGTACATGGATGTTCTCTCTGCTTTAAGTATCTTTCCCTATTCCCAGAGAACTCCTACTCAGCCTTCAAAACTCAGCTTGAACATCCCTTGTCTTGTGAAGTTTTCCCTGACCTCCTCTGGCTCCTACCCAGACGTAGGGGATCACCTCCTCCTCAGGGCAACCAGTAAGCCTAAACACACCCGTATTGCACAACATTGCCAGGAACTGTTTATCTGGGAGACTGCAAGCAACTTGAGGGTCATGGCCCCTGGCACAGAATAGGTGCTCTGTGTTTTATTAAAAGGGAGGACTCCGGCTGTCAGATAGTGAGATGGGCTGGGGTGGACTCTCAGCCCCCAGCCAGTATCTCTGGAACAGGACCACAGTGGCAGAATGAGAAGAACTGAATTCATCACAAGAAGAAATTCAGTCAATCTATACATGTTCAAGTTTTATTACAAAGTATGATGGGCAGAAAATACGGTACTTCTTATACAGGAGGCTGAAACAGAATGAAAGGGTGAAAATTAGGTTTAATATACTCAGGAAGCAAGAAATAAAGTCATAGATGTAACACTCCACTTTCAGGTGCCTTTGAAGTCGCCTTCAATGGAGATTTACCATTATGGTTTCACAGCACAGTGTTAACATTTTATTACAAGCCCTGTGTACAATCAGTCCTGTGATGATAATATTTTAAAAAGAAAAACGGGTGATAGTACAGTTCCGTAGGGGGCAGCTTCCTCTCCACCTGACCATGGGAGGTCACAAAACCTAGAGTATAGAGGAAAAGTTTAAATATGTAACAAGAAATGAAGTTCAGGCGTACTAGGCTAGAGGGAACAGAAATTGATTGGCTAGAGCTTAACATCTCAGAGAACAAGGAATCTCCGTTTTCTACACAGAGGTTTGTACAATCATGCTACAAGTTCACACTCGGGGGAGGACAGGGGGAAGTCACTGACAGGGTCATAAAATACACAGGAACCCAAGCAAGTGATTCATATTCAACTCAACCGAGTCAAAGCTGTAGCTCAACAAGTCTCGTTGCACACCGGATTACCACAACCAACCCCAGGCTAGAGCATTTCTCTTAAACGGCAGACACCACAAGTCCATAGTCACTGGGTTGTCCTAAAGGTGGGTCCTTGTAAGTTTTCTAGCTATTACAACGACTGCCAATACCTTTCTTCTTGAGTTCATACTTTCACTAGCTTATTTGTTTCTGGTTTGATACACCAGTCCAAGCCTCTTTGGGAAGGCACCTGCACGTTTCCAAACTTAAAAAAGAATATCCACAAAGTAGCCTGAGAGGACAGGGCCCGCACTGTGTAGCCACACCTTTAACTCTGAGAGCCAGCGGCAAAGACAATCGTGGGAGAAGAAGAGGGTGCAGGTGGGACAGGTGGGCAAGGCTCTGCAACAGGAGACGCTGGGGGCAGCTGGCCCAGCCAGTACGAAAGCCTCGTCCAGGGCTCACAGTGATGCTCAGCTCAGCTCAGCTC